GGCGGCGGTAGCAGAGGGGCAGAGGGGAGCCTCGTGTCAGCCGTCAACTTGCTCCAGCCGGACTCGGGCGTCGTGGCGCCTGCGATGCGCCCACTCACACTCCTTCTTGCTGCCGTCGCGGAGGTAGTTGTCGTCGGTGTCGGTGACGATGCAGCGCTCCTCCATGAGGCGGATCTGCTCCTCGTCGTGGCCCGCCAGGCTCGAGTCGAGGGTTATTGTCGAGGCGCTGGCGGCCGTCGTCGTCGTGGCGGTGGCAGACATGCTGGCGTCGGTCGGGCGAGTGATAAGCAGTGATACGCGGCACAGTGCAGTGTAGGTGGCGCGGGGAGGGGGGGGAAAGGGGAAGGGAATCGAGGGGGTTGGGTGGCGGACGGCGAGAAGGTTGGGGTTCGAGGGCCAGCAAGCAGGCCTAGGGTCGGCGTGGGTGGCCTGACCTTGGCCTTGGGGCCTGAGGCCGCTTCTTCCTTCGCGGGCGCGGGTCCAGCCGCCCGCCGCCTTCGCCGCCCAAAAGTGACACCCGTCCAGGTCTATCTGGGCCAGCCCAGGCTGAAGGGGGGCCCAATACAAACGGCCCCAGATCGGTCCCGCAGCGGGCAATTGAAGCCGGCCAGGTGGGTTCAAGCCCTGGAAGACGGCAATTCAATGCATTTCTATTCGTGATTTTTTCACTCTGGGCGAGGCGAGAGGGCAGCCAAGAAGACCAGCAGGCGAGCAGAGGTTGGTTGGTTGGGGGCAACCGGCCAACACCACCACCACCACCACCACCACCACCCCCTTCTTCCTACGCCCGACCACTGCACTCCTTTCAGCGCCTTCCCGCACGCACGCACCCACTCACACTCACTCACTCACGCACGCACGCGATCCGAGCACTCACCGCACCGCGACGCCGCCTACGACACCAGCACCAGCACCGCCGAGTTCTGGAAAGCCACCAATCGCGCGCCCTTCCTTCGCTCTCGCAACCGCACAACGCGCGAGCGCACACACACACACACACAGATACACACACGCCCCTTTGCTGCGACCTCAGAATCATGGCAGCGACCCACGACACCTCTAGCGCCGCCGAGTGGATGGCGCCGGCATCTCGACCGGAGCACGTCGAGCAGCTCATCTCTGGCGTTGGTGAGTCTCGCGCCTGCGCGCTGGGGTGCTCTGTCACCTGGCCGGCCCAGTCGACGGCAGCATGCCCTGCTTGCGCGACGTCTTAAGGGTTCCACGGGCTGACCGTACCGCGCTCTCGCTCTGCTGCCATCCCGCACCATCTCCTCCCTCCGTCTAGACCGGTACAACCCGCAAAACCTCGAGAGCCTGCACGAGTACCTCGCACAGCAGCTCGACAACGGGACATACGACCTGCTCGCCAACCTTGCCATCCTGAAGCTGTGAGTACCGCCGACGGTCGCCTGGGATCCTGTGTCCCTGTCCATCGCCCTCGCCCTCGCCCTCGCCTTTGCGCGCGGTTCGCCGCTGCCGCCGGAGGACAAGCCCACGGCCCATAGGATGACTTCTTCATACCACAAAATGTCGCGACCGGCCGGCTGGGAGTGAAGCCCCGGCCGGCCGATGACCAAGTTATTATTAGCTCTATCTGATGCCACCGTCGGCGAGCAAGGGACAGGGGGCAGGGAGAGCGAGGAGTGTGGCGGCGCCATCACCGCGACCGAGGGAGATGCCACCGCTTCCACCCTGTCTGGTCGAGTCGACGGAGCACGCGGCTGACCTGTCCGCCCGCACGCCCACACCGTCACCTGCCCGCAGATACCAATTCAACCCGTCCGACTTCAACTACGTCGTGGTCGTCAACATCTTGCTCAAGGCGCTCGTCGCCGCGCCCTTCCCGGACTTTAGTCTTTGCCTGTCGTTGCTGGGCGAGGCGCCGCTGCCGACGGTGCCCGTCAAGAACACGGAAAAGGAGGCGGGCGAGGCCGGTGAAGAGGGCGCCGCCGCCGTCGAGGCTGAGAAGGAGGCCGACGTGCCGTCGGCGGGCCACCTGACCGACCCGCTGCTGGTGCGGCTGTCGCAGCTCAACACGCTCCTCTTCCAGGCGCGCTTCCGCGACTTCTGGAGCACGCTCTCGAGCGCCGAGTTTGAGGACGTGCGGGAGTACGCCGCCAAGATCGCCGACTTTGACAATGCGGCGCGCAAGGTGGCGCTCAACAGCGTCAAGGGCGCCTTTACCTCGATCAGCGAGAAGCGGATCGGCAGCTACCTCAACCTCTCGGGCGCCGAGCTGGCCGACTTCATCGCTGGCCAGGACGGCTGGAAGCTCGAAAACGGCACCGTCAAGGTGCCCGCCAACCCGGACAATGAGATCAAGGCCACCGTCATCCGCGAGGAGATTACGCTCGACTCGATGACCAAGCTTCTCTCGCAGGCCCAGCCGCCGATCCTGCAGCAGGCGTGAGGGCCCGCAAGAGGCGCCGCCGCCGTCGTCGTCGTCCTGAACGCACCTCATCTGTCGACCTCGGCCTCGTTCATGTAGGCTGCTCCTAAGCAACCCGTTCGCCTCGTCACGTCGATACCTTTTGCGCTTGTGTTGTCCTGCCTCCCTGCCTCCATCCTTCCTTGAGCTGTTTGTGTCTCTGCTGGCGTCGGCCAGGCCGAAGAGCGCAGTGCCGCCGCGTCGAGGCTGTCGGCCCGCCGCCGCTTCGTCCCGTTTTCCTGAGAGGAGGTCTGCAGGTGGTGTCGGCGGTGCAGCGGAAGGTACGAGGTGAGCTCGCCCAGCAAGCAGCTGGAAGGCAAGGGGGGACGGACCGACCCGCTGCGTGGGTGGGTGACATCTTGCTTGTTATGCCTTGCCTGCTGCCTGGCTTGCCTGCCTGTCGTGCGTGCGCACCAGGGTCCGCCGGTTGCGAAGAATGCGCGCAGCGGCGGCGGCGGAGGCGGCGGCGGGGCTCGGCTGCTTCGCAAGATCACGATGCGTCTAACCTGCCTGCTGGCCTGCGTCCGATGCAGAGGTTAGGTGACGCCGAGAAGTGGAGTCTGCGCAGCATGCCAGCACACCCCACAGCACAAAGGAGCAGCCAGCGAGCAGGTTCAACCGGCGCGGCATGGCCAGCGGGAGGCAGGGAGGACAGGTGGCTGCGGAAGGATCGAGATGCGCTCCACCTTGGCTTCTTGGCTTCCTGACCGTCGCCCTCTCCCTCCCTCTCATCCTCTCGCCCTCTCTAGAGCCCACCGCCACCACCTCGAAAGCACCACGGCCCATCGCCAAAGCGAACAGAGTATCGCCAGAGAGGGGCGCTCGACCGCCCCCCGGACCTCGCCACCGCCACCATCATCTCGACGCCTTCTGTCGCCAACAAACACTCTTGGAGGTCGTGGTGCTCGCCGCCAGCAGCACCAGCCTGCCTCGAGGCATCGAATCGTTTCCCTAGCTCAGCAGCTGGCCGAGATGGTCCTCAGACCCCCCTCCCATGGACACCACCCAACGACACGACGGCGGCAGGGCAGGGGGCAGAGCAGACGACGGACCAGCGGCGATCCCCAGCCTTGCAAGGACGGCTTCTGTCGCGCGAGAGAGTGAGTCGATCTGGGTCAGGCCCGCCTCGAGGGCCATGGTATCCGGGTGAGAGTGTGCCTGTCTGCCAGCCTGGCCGCCTCTGCCCGCCCGCCTGTTGTGGACCAGGTACGGTCTGCCCTGCCTGGCCTGGCCTGCCTCGCGCGCGCGCGCGCCCTCGCCGCCCTCATCAGCCTTTGCCTGCTGGGCTCAGTGGGCTGACCTCGAGGGCGGAGGGCTGAGGGCGTCTCTCTCTCGAGCTGCCCGGCCCTCGCCGTATCTGGTTCTCACGTGCGATGGGTCCAACCGCCATCGTCTCGACTACCATCACCATCACCGCCTGCTGCTGCTGCTGCTACCATCGTACGTCGCCGTCATCGTCAGCCTCCGTCCATCAGCATTTCCCCCCGACATCGCTTCTCGCTCTCGACACGCACGCCCGTCAAACGAAGACGAGGCACGCCGGCTGGGCCGCGTCGATCCAGCTCCCGGTCGACTCGCTTTTTTTTTTGGATTTTCCCTTTTCTGCGCTCAAGAGGGGGGGTGCGTGCGTGCGTCCCGCCTGCCGTTGCTGCGTGGGCCCTCGGGTTCGCCTGCCGTCGTGCCCCGCCTTGCCCTGCCTGGCCTCGCCTGCCCAGCCTTGCCCTGGCTTGCCCTCTGGCCGCCTTTTTTCGGTCAGTCGGGGGCCCTCCCTCGTCTGGGCACGTCGAAATCGATTTGGGCCCGCCCGCCCGCGCGCCTGCCCTGCTGGCCTGCCCCTCTTCCGACGTCCGCGATCCGCGCAGCGCCACCACGCACGCCTCTTGACTTAACGCGTCGACCATCATCATCGCATCGCGCGCGACCCCCTCCCCTTTCCATCCGCTCCTGCTCCGCTTCGCACCGCATCCCGACCCGCTCGACGGCCGAAGACGCCCCTTCCGACGCCGAAGCCGACGCCATCCTCGTCCCAGCATACACCCTCAGCCAGGCGAGATCCGCGCACACCACGCTTCGGCGATCCCGCTCGTTACCCGAACCGACGTTGCCGGCCCGGCCCTCCAGTCGTCCGCAGTCGATCGACGCTCGTCCATCTCCCTCGCCTTCGGCATCCACTATCGCCCCTTACCTGATATCCAGCATCGCACTATCGTAGCCTGCTTCGCCTCGGCCTTACCCGGATAGGGCATCCGCATCGTCTTCTGCATCCATCCATCCAGTCTTCCATCCGGCAAGCCGTCTACCCGCTACATCCGCTGCATCCATCCATCCATCCATCCGTCCATCCGTCGATTCACTCCGCCTCGCCATCGGCCGACTGTCCTCGCATCCATCCACTGCTCTGGCATCGCCGTGGTCGTCGTCATCATCGTCGGATCAGCTCTCGATCCGCAGTCACGACTCCAACCCTCGTCGTCAGCGCAACGGCCGCCCCTCTGTCGTCGACGGATCATAGACGGACCGACGTTCTCGCCGCTTCAGTCGACGCCCTAGTCACCGCAGCGCCCCTGGCTCCCTCTCTCCTCTCTCTCGCGCGTACACCACTCTCTCTTCCTCTCTCCCAAAGACATCCGCCACCGTGTCGGGATGTCAGCGGACATCAACGCCACCACCAGAGTCGGCGTCGGCACTCTTTCGCAGCTTCCATCCTCGAACCGCGGCCCTGGCTCCCTCTACAGCTCACGTTCCGGCACGCCCAAGAACATGGGCGACGCAAACAACGGTGGCGCCCACGCGCGGCACCCTCCGCCGGGCTTCGGACCCAACAAGAACGCTGGCTTCGGCAACCCATCCGGTGCTGGCGGCGGCTTCATGCTCCCGTCGTCCCCGCCGTCCGGCCATGCGCAGGCCACCAGCGGCGCGAGCAGCAGCGGCGGCAACAACAAGAACGGCACCGGCAGCAACAGCAACTTCATGTTCGGCCCAGGCAACATCGACACCGGCCTCGCCGCCCCGCGTGCCATGGCCCCGCCATATCCACGCCTGACCTCGCCCCAGCCGCTCGATGGGGCCGTCTCGCCGTCGGCGCGCTCGCCGTCGCCCTCGAAGCGGGGCTTCAATTTCCCGATGGGTGATCCGTCGGGGGGCAGCGACCGATGGAACAGCATCGGCCAGGCGGCATCATCGCGGTCCTTTGCTGTTGGCGCCGTCCAGCCGCGCAAGCAGTCGAACCAAGGTGCCATTGGCAGTGGCAGCGGCGGCGGCAGTGGCAGCAGCACCGGCGGCGGCGGCCTCGGAGGCCCTCCGTCGAGCAACAACGCGTTTGCGCAGGAGCCTTTCCTCGGCTACAATGAGCTCTTTTCGCCGACGTCGGCGCACCCGTCGGACAAGTCGACGCCGCTGTCGAGCAGCAACAAAGGCTCCAACAGCGCCGCTGGCCCCGGCAGCGACCGGTCGACCAACATCCTCTCGACGTCGGATCCTATGCAGCTCGGCTCCAGCCACGCCGCCCTGCCCGAATTCCGGGGCATGTCGCTGCCCCCGCACCAGCAGCAGGCGTTGCAGCCGCAACAGGCGCAGTCCCAGGATCCGGATCCGTTTGCGCCCCGCTTCGACGCGGCCCATCGTCCCTATGGAGCGCCGGGGAGGGACGAGCATCTGTCCTTTGCGGCCGGCCTTGGCGCCGGCGCACCAACTCCGCGGGCCATCGACGACTACCACGGACGATCGCCGTTTGGGCTGCCACCGACAGGGCCACCTCCGCAGCTCGGGCCTGGACCTGGACCTGGACCCGGCCCGGGGCAAGGCGGCATGTCGAACCATCTGCACGGCGCCGGCAACTTGAGTCCACGAAGCATGATGCAGCTCCACCACCAACACCAGCAGCACCAGCAGACGCACCAACAGCATCAGCAGCAGCAGCAGCAGCACGCGCTCATGGCGCAGCAGGGGCAACAGGGCCTCCATCAGGTCGGTGCCGGCGGCGCACCCGGCCAGATCCCGCCCGAGGAGATCACAACCGTCTTCATCGTCGGGTTCCCCGAGGACATGACGGAGCGCGAGTTCGCCAACATGTTTCTGTTTGCCCGCGGCTTCGAGGCGTCCACGCTCAAGGTGCCGCCCGGTTCGAGCCAAGCGGGGCCCGGCGGCCGGCTTTCCGAGGGCGGTGGCCCGATGGCGGGCGCCGGCGGACCCTACACGGCCGTCAGCATGCCAGGAGCGGGGCTGTTTGACCTGTCCAACGCACCGGGCGGCGGGCCGTGGGAAGGCGAGCACGGCCTCTCGCTTGCCCTGTCGCGGGCCGGCGCGAGCGACGCCTTTTCGTCGCTGGCCAACATGGGCGGCATGGGGAACGCGCTGCCTGGTGGGCAGGGTGCGGCCAACCCGAATGCGGTTGGCGCCAAGATCAAGCAGATTATCGGCTTCGCCAAGTTCCGCACGCGCGCCGAGGCGCTCGAGGCGAGGGACGCGCTCAACGGCCGCAAGATCGATACCGAGAAGAACTGCGTCCTCAAGACCGAGATGGCCAAGAAGAACCTGCACACGAAGCAGCGGCCCGTCCTGTCCAGCATGGGTGGGTCAGAGGCCTGCAACGGTGCTGGCTTCCTGCCACCCTCTGGCGGACCCGCGCCGCCGCTGCCGCCGGGTGTCGGTCCGCAGCAGCTGCAGCAGCAGCAGCAAGCCCAACAGCAGATGCAGCTGCAGCAGTCACAGTCACAGCCACAGCAGCAGCAGCAGCAGCAGCAGCAATCTCAGCCAGGCCAGGGCTTCGGGATGGGCCAGTTCGACCGTGACGCCTTACCTTTCCAGCAGCGCCCTCGTGGAGAGTCCCACGGCCTGGCCACCGGGCCGCCACCTCCCGGTTTCGGCCCCGGGCCTGGCTTCGGCGGCTTCCCGTCGAGCAAAGGACTCTCGTCCTTCGAGCCCTTAATGCTGCCGGGCGGACAAGCCCCGGCCAACGGCATGATGTCGCCGCGCGACGCTTTCCGAGCCGATCCGTTCGGACCAGCAGGCTCCTCGCACTCGGCCGCAACCATGTTTGGCGGCGGCGTTGGAGGCAGCGGCAAGGCGCCTGGCAGCTCGACGTCGGAGCAGCCCGGCCGCCCAGGGCTTCTCGGCAGCGAAGCGTGGTCGTCGTCCATGGGGCCGCTCGACTACTTTGGGCCAGAGGCGGGTCCGCCTCCGCCGAATCTCACGCAGCGGCCTGGAAACGCGTCAGCCGCCGGCAGCGGCGGCAGCGGCACCCTCTCCGGTGGTGCTCAGCAGCACGAGCGGTCAGACTGGAGCGCCCTCGGCTCGCCGCCAGGCCTGGCCAGCTTGGGCGGCGCCGGACCTCGCCCGAACTTTGCGAGGCAAACATCGCGCGGACCCTTTGCCAGCGGTGCCATGGGCGAAGGCGGCTATGCGGGGCCCGGTGCCCCTGGGCCGCCGCGTCCGGGGCCCGAGGATTTTAGCCGTGGGGAGTCGACGTCGGGCAGCCGTAACAGCTCGTCGCCGCCGCAGGCAGGGACCGACGACCGGGACACGTCGATGCCGCCGCCGCCGCCGCCGCAACAGCAACAGCAGCAGCAGCAGCAGCACGGAGGCGTCACTTCGCGGTTCGGTCAGCTTCGGCTCGGCTCCCCGACTCACGAGGGCGAGGCCGGTTCCGGTCCCAGCATGGCAGCCACAGCCGCCGCCGCCGCCGCCGCCGCCGGTCCCGGCCAGGCGCGGGCCATTGCCCAGGTCCCCAGCCCAGACCTCCCGAGCCCTACAGGCCGCGGCGGGTTCGTCGGGGACAACCACCCGCCGGTCAACACTCTGTTTGTCGGCAACCTGCCCAGCAGCGCCTCGAGCGCCGTGATTGCGCAGATCGAGGACCAGCTGCGCGCCGTCTTTGCGTCGCGCCGCGGCTTCCGCCAGTTTTCCTTCCGCCTCAAGAGCAACGGGCCCATGTGCTTTGTCGAGTTTGAAGATGTCCACTGCGCCTCGGCGGCCATGGCCGACCTCAATGGCAATACGCTCGGCGGCGCCATCAAGAACGGCGGCATCCGCCTCAGCTTTTCCAAGAACCCGCTCTTTCGCATGAACTCGAACTCGTCGATCCACCAGCAGCACCAGCAGCATCAGCATCAGCACCAACACCAGCAGCAGCAGCAGCAGCAGCAGCAGCAGCAGCAGCAGCACTAGGGCCAACGGCAGATCGGCGGCCGCGCCGTTACCGTCCTGGGCATACTCTCTCCTCGCCCTCGCGCCAGGCCCGCCCGGCGCGGCCCCCTCGGAAAACGGGAAAAGGGGGGGGGGGATTCCAAAAAAAAATCCAATCTGGCCGCCGCATTTACGCGGCTGGCCGCCGCGCGCCTTCTCCGTCCCTCTCGACCACCACCATCGATCGCCACGATCCCGGGGCCACCGCATCGCGTCTTTTCCTGTGGCCATGGAGCGCGCCGACGCCGCGGATGTCGACTTTGACTCGCTCAACAAACTCGAGGAGCACGCCTACCGCGAGGGCTACCAGCAGGGCCACGAGCATGGCGAGCTCCACGGCACGTTTGAAGGCCGCGAGCTGGGACGCGACAAGGGCTTCGAGGCCTGGGAGGAGGTGGGCTTCTACGCCGGCCTTGCCCAGATGTGGCGCTGCCTGATTGAGGCGTCGGGCCCGGCCGACAAGCTGTGAGTGCGCCCCCCTGTCTCCTGCTCCTTGCCGCTGTGCCATCGAGCGTCGATCCCTGACTGCCATGCTCCCGCCCGCCTCCGTCTGCCTGCACAGGTCCCGCAAGCAGCTGAAGCAGCTGCAGCACCTCGGCGCGCTCGAGCGCCTGACGGCGGCGTTTCCCATGCACAACAAGCCTTCCGACGCTGCCGATGCCGGCGGCGAGACGTCGGCCGACGCCGAGGCCGGCCATGACTTGGACGAGGACCTGTCGAAGCTCGATATGCTGGCGCTGCTCGAGCGTATCCGCGCCAGGTACAGGCTCACCTGCTCGGTCCTGGGCATTCGGCCACGCGGATCGGCCGCGCCCGCTGCACCGCAGTCGTCGTCGGAGCCCGGTGGCTCGTCTTTCGCACGTGGCGGCGGCGGCTTCCAGGCTCAGAGCAAGACGGTCCTCGTCGCGGGCAGGATGGTCGACCCGACGCAGCTGGGCTACTGAGCCAGCTCCCCGGGCCAGCCGCCAGCCGCCAGCCGCTCTCCGCCTCGCCCTTGCCGATCCCACGCCACCGCCTCTGGAGCCACATCGCCTGCCCTGGTCGATCTCGCCACGTTCCGCCGAGCACTCCACGACCCTGGATGCGCTTCCTCACCTTGCACCGGCATCTCAACCATACATTTTCGCGACCGTCGTCATCGGCCACCAGTCCTGCTCCGCGCCACGTCTCGTGCTTCCTTCCCATGCGTCCTGTCCGGTCCAGCAACCAGCGTACTGTCCCCCCGCCCCATGCCGCGACTCCGCACCTCCCACTTTCCTCTTCTTCGTTTCGCATGGCGCAAGTCTCCCTTCGACCCGACATCCACCAGCAGCAAGCCTCTCAACCGCAAAACATAGGTGTACTTCTACCCATGGCGTCCCGCGCTCCATTCCATATCGCCCCCGGGCATCCTCGCCTCGCCGTCGCCGTCGTGTCCGTACGCTCTCGTCTCTCCGTCCTCTGTTCGTTCGTGTCGATTGTCATCGGACCTCTTTAGTCTAGCCAGCCGTGGCTGCCGATGTCCTTGGCAGCCTTTGCGCGCCGCTCGCACCGTACCCGCCTCGTCGTTATATCCTTACAGCCGTCGCAGCCGTGTGCGATCGAGGAGCAATCCGTTGCGTCCCGTCCCATCCATCCCATCGATACCTCATTCTCCGATCGCAGCTTTTCGCCGCTGGGGTCCCCCGCGTCGTTGTGCTCTGCACGCCGCCTTCTTCCGCCCCGTCGCTGCCGAACCGTGCGTATTGCATGCTGCCTCGTTCCTTGCTTCGTTCGACGGGAGGATGGTGTGATGTGAGGGGGGGGCACGGCAGGGCAAGGCAAGGCAAGGCAGGGAGTGAACGAGAAAAGCGGCGAGAAATTCCAGGCGAAAAGCAGACCCCAGCACGCACGCCTCTCCGACGGATGGGCATGGACCACCTGCTGGCCCTGGAGGCGCGGCCCTCGCTACTCTACCTGCTGCCTGCCTGCGCTGCTGCAGAGCCGTGCAGCTGCAGAGGCGGGCGAGCTACGTCAGTGTCAGACAGGCAGGCAGGGCGGGCCTACCACGCACCGTACCGCTGCTGCTGCTGCGTCGTCCGGCAGATCGAGCGAGCCAGCCTCGGAGGAACTCCAACCTCCCCTTGGCCTGCCTGCTGCCTCCCTGCCTACGAGCTCCTCACCTGCCCCGCATTTCTCGACACCGGGTTGGTCTGTTGGCCACGCCAGGTCAGGCGAGGCGAGGCCAGGCGAGCTCGGGCCATGCCCCAACACATCCACCCGCCGCCCCGTCTGCCCCCCTCTCCTCCTCCTCCTCCCTCCTTCCTCCTCCTCCTCCACCACCACGTCAACGACTCTGCCACTCCTGCTTCACCCACCTGCCTGCCATTCTGCCCACGAACGACCGACCAGCTTCACCTCCGCTCCCCTTTCCACGCATCCGACCGCAATGACGAGCGCACAGCCCAAGGCCGTCCTCTACACCTTCGACGGGTCCGTGTGGGGCAGCGCGCCCCGCCTCGCCCTCGTTGAGAAGGGCTACGCCGACCAGGACCTCGAGATCAAGATTGTCGACCTCGGTATGTATGATCCATGCCCCCCCGTCGGGTGGCTGCTGCCACGCCCGCCACCGTCGACCCAGCGCTGACGGCCGGGATCCGTCTGCTACCTCGACTGCCTGCTACCGCTGCCGCTGCCTCCCGCGGCCGCATCCAACAGCAAAGGGGGAAAACTTCTCGCCCTCGTACCTGCGCATCAATGCAAAGGGGACGGTGCCCAGCCTCGTGGTCCCCATCCTCGAGACGACGTCGGCAGAGGTCGATACCAAGTTCCGCGCCCTGACCGACTCGAAGCCCATCCTCGAGTTCCTCGGTGAGTCGCATCCCAGGCCGGCGTGTCCTCGAGGCAGCCTGCAGGCGCAGGCAGCGCCCGGCTGACGTGCATCCACATCGTACTCCTCGACGACCCCGCCGCCGCCGCCGCCGCCGCTGCAGACAAGTCGAGGTCGCAGCCTATCCTTGACTCCAAGGGCGAGGGCCTGGCGGGCGCACCGGCTCCCGTCCTGGCACCCGCCACCATCGAGGGCAAGGCGCTCTCGGACGAGATTATCAAGGTGCGTCCCATCAAGAGCATCCTCCCACATCCAGGCTCGCTTTCCGTACCGGGCATGCGCCCGACGCTGACGCCCATCCTCTTCTACATCGTCCCCTCGCGCAGCTGGTCCACGCCGACACGGCCAACCCGAACAAGCTCTTCCTGGGAGCCCGCTCGGTCGAGGAGCTGCAGAAGCAGAAGCAAGGCTTTGTCTTTGACTTTGTCAAGAACAGGTGCGTCGCCGAAGTCGTCCCGGGCAGCTCGACAAACGTAACAGCAGGCCCTGTGCTGACTTCTACCCGCCCGCCTTGCCACCTTGCCGTCTTCTGGCTCCCCCTGCACGACTGCCGCAGCACGGGAGCGCTGCAGAACTACCAGCGCGAGATCGAGAGCGCCTCGACCGCCACGGCCGACGGCTCGTCGAACCCGCGCTCGTCGGCGACGGTCGAGTCGCTCAAGAAGTGGTACTCGGACAAGCTGGCATCGCAGTCGGTGCTGCGCGCCGCCTACCTCGACAACGACGCGTCGGCCGCCGAGACCCTGGTCCAGGAGACGCGCGCGCTGTGGCACGGCATCGCCACCGCCGTCGATGCGCTCGAGTCGCGCATCAAGGGCCCGCTCGCCCTCGGCGACCAGATCAGCCTGGCCGACCTGCACATCGTCCCCTGGCTCGCCCGCGTCCTCACCGTGTGCCGGGGCTACGCCGAAGGCGCCTCGGTCGCAGACGACATCGACGCTCTCGACGCCGCGCTCAAGTCGCAGGGGTTAAGCGGACACAAGACCGCCGCCGCCGGCGTCGGACCCAAGGTGAGTGATCGGTGACGCAGCAGAGGGGGAAGCGGTGGTGGTTGGCGGGGAGGGAGGGTCGGGTCGGATGTGCGTGCCGACACGCTGACGACGATCGCCCGTCCATCCTTTCGTCCTCACGTCGCTGCGCTGCACTGCAGCTGCGAGAGTTCTGGGCCACGATGAAGCAGCGCCCGAGCTTCCAGGCCGTCTACGGAGCAGGCCTGCACTGAGGTCGCCTGCCGGTGCCTCCAGCATGGATTGCTTGCCATCTACAGAGCCTATCTAGAGGGGCAGCGGCGATGGAGGCCGCGAACAATACATCGGATATCTCTGCCTTGTCAGGGCCAGCCATCGCCCTCTCTCCGGCTGCTCTCTGCGTCCGCGCTCAGCCGCTTCACCGCTGCTGCTGCTGCTGCTGCTGGGCGGACGGCTGGCGCCCGCCCCGACTCGGCGCCGCGGCTGCAAATTCGCGCCGGTCGACGTCCTCGGCCCACGCTGCGCACGCCGCCTCGACGTCGGCCACCTCCTTTGGCGCCTCTGCGCTGAGGACGACGTTGTCGCGCTCGCCGACGGCGATGTCGTCCTCGATGCGGATGCCGATGCCCTGGAAGTGCTTGGGGAAGCGGTCGTCGTAGGGCACGTAGACGCCCGGCTCGATGGTGACGACGGCGCCGCGCTCGAGCTTGGTGCTGCGCTCGACCGAGGCGACGTCGTGCAGGTCGATGCCGAGCCAGTGCCCGATGTAGTGCGGGTAGAGGATGCGCTCGAGGGTGCCCAGGCCCAGGTGGAAGCCGATGTTTTTCAGCTCGATGCGCAGCATCTCGACCGAGCGGCGGTGCAGGTCGGCCAGCGTGTAGCACTGCTCCTCGGTCGCGAGCGCCGTGCAGCCCTTGAGCACGCTCAGCACCGCCTCGTACAGGTCGCGCTGCGGGCCCGTAAACCTGCCGTCGAGCGCAGCGGGAAAGGCGCGCGTAATGTCCGAGGCGTACCCGTCGAGCTCGCACCCGGCGTCGATGCAGACGAGGTCGGCGTCGCCGACGAGGCGGTCGTTGTTGATGTAGTGGATCGTCAGGGCGTTGGAGCCCGCGGCGACGACGGGGACGTAGGCGGGCCGCTGGGCGCCGTTGACGGCGCAGTGGTACTCGAAGACGGCCTGCAGCTGCGACTCTGTCCTGCCCGGGCGGACGTAGCGCATGACCTGGGCCATGGCCTCGCCGCTGACGCGGCCCGCGCGGCGCATGGCGCGCAGCTCGTTTGCGCTCTTGCGGAAGCGCAGCCGCTCGACCTCGCGCGAGAGCGAGTGGCACTTGCGCGGGTCGGCGAGGAGCTTGACGACGTGGTCAAAGTCGCTCTTTTTGCTGAAGAGGTCGAAGCCCGTCGTCGAGGGCGGCGAGAGGTAGTTGAGCACGTTGGAGGCGGCCGCCGAGGCGCGCGAGCCCGACGTGCGGCGGGGCGTCGTGGGCTGGGTGGGCGAGTCGACGTAGACGTGCGTGTAGGCGGGCAGCTTCTGGCGCAGGTGGGCGAGGAGCGTGGCCGGGTCCATGTCGTAGGCCTCGTCGGCGCCAAAGACGTCGGTGGCGCCGTCGACGCCGGTGCGCGGGCCGTTCCAGGTCTCGTTGTGGTCGTCGCGCGGCGGCACGTACATCGTCATGCGGTAGCCGCGCGGGCGGCTGGCGTCCCTTTCCAGCACCACGGCCGAGTCGGGCTCCTGGAAGCCCGTCAGGTACCAGAAGTTGGACTCCTGCCGGAACTTGTAGAAGATGGCGCCGCTCATGCTCTTGACGCGCCCAGAGACGAGGACGGCGACGCTGCCGTCGGGCAGCTGCTCCATCAGGCGGCGCCGGCGCTGCTCGTACTCGGCGGCGGGGATGCCCGGCGTCAGCTGGTCGGTGGCCACCTGGCCGTCGCCGGCATCGAGCAGGTCGAGCCCGACCTCCTGGCCCGGGTAGGCCACCAGGTCCTCGTTGCCCAGCGGACCGCGGCGCGGGAAGAGGTGCGGGTGCGAGTGGGGCAGCGGCTGGCCGTAGGTGCGGCGCGACGACGAGGGCCTGGGCTTGTAGGAGCACGAGGCGACCGAAGACGAGGACCCGGAGGCAGATGACGACGGCGAGCCAGAGGTGCCCAAGGAGAAGGGCGTGCGGGAGCTTCGGATATCGTCGACGGGTCTGGCCGCTGCCGATGCTGATGCTGCTGCTGCCGCCGCCGCCGCCGAAGATGCGTGCCGCCTGGTCGCCGGGAGGTGCGGGCAAGTGCTCGGGGCTGCGCCGAGGGCTGCGATGGCGGCAGGAGTGACGTTGGCATAGCTCGCAGCGAGCTCGTGCTGCTGGACGAGAAGCTGGCAGCACGACTGCCGGAGTCGAGAGGCCATGGTCGCCGCCGTGTCCAGGGGAGGGCGAGGTGCTAGCTTGTCGCTACGTCGCAGTACGCGCAGGCCGCAGTCGGTGTCGAGGTCGAGCGGGCGAGCGGCGAGGGCGAAGAACGACAGGCAAAGGGCAGGGCAAGGCAAGGGTCGGGCGGGTGGGTTGGAGAGCGAGAGCCAGCTGGTGACGGCTTCAGGGTCGCGCCTCGCCTCGCCGGCTCAGCCCGCCCACAGCAGACAGGAAGGTCGGGCGACGTCGGCCTCACGCAGCTTCGGCCCCGGCGTGTCAAAGCCTGCCGTACGAGTGACGCGCCAGCCAGCGCAGGCCAGGCCAGCCCTCTCCGGCCACTGTAGGCGCCACCACCGTCATCAACCGCCTAGATTGAGTCTCGGCTGCCCCCCCTTCTTCCGAGCCCCGCAACGCAACGCAGCGCCTCGCCTCATCTCGCCTCGCCGCCTGTTGGCTTGCCAGGCCTGACTGTCGCTACCCGCCCGAAGCTGCCAGCGACAAAGGCGGCAGCGACGACGACGACGACGACCCCCTTGGCGAGGCTCGCCAGGCTGCCCGGCTCGACCTTCCCGAAACGGGATCCCGGCCCAGATCTGAAAATAGCGCTCGCCACCCCCTGGCCCTTCGTGATGACGGCCTTCTCGACGAGGTGAGTACCGGCCCCACCTCGACCAGCGGCTGGAGCCCTAGCGCTGCGATAAGGTCGGCGCTGACGTGCTAGGACCGCCGAGAGACAGGCACGACCAGCATGCCATGGTGACGCCAGGCCTCACCACTCGAGCCTTGTTTCTTCCTCTTGACGCCCGTGCTCCATTGTTCTTCGTCGCGAACCAAGCCGACCCAGGACTCGCCGGCGCCGACGCTTGGTGTCGAGCGACGTTGCCTCGACCATGCCCCTGCCAGGCCAGCCGGGTCGCCGACACGATATCGAATTTGCCCCGGCGTTGACCTGTTATGCCAGGCCAGGCCTGGCTTGGCCTGCCTCGCCTCCCCTCGCCCCAGACAGCCCTTTGAGACGGGCAGGCGCTCAACTCTTTTGTCCCTTTGTCCTCTGCGACGTCTTATGCCACGCCGCTCAAACACCGCCTCGCGGGAAGCGTGCAGGCCGGGCGTTACTCTTGGCCTCGTCATGCCGCTCGATGCCGTGCTTCCTTCTTGTGCCACCGCGCTCGCGTTGCCGTGCGGTCCTCGGCCTGCCAGCCGGGCAGGCAGGCCGAGCGTGCGAACTCTGCTTGTCATGGCCACGGAGGGGTCCCCCTTCGATCTCGGCGTCAAGAGGGCGGGGCAAAAGGGGCGTCAATCGTCCTTCGGCGCCTGTCAACCTGGCGCTTCCAGAAAGAGGCCTGCCGTGCTGCATCGGGCCGAAGGCAGGAAGACTGGCTGCTCAGAGATAAGGCGGCGCTGTTTTCTCACCCTCGATGTCCTGCCACACACAGCCGGGCAGCCACCAGCGATGCAGCGTGCTACATACGGCCACGATCCCGGTGGACAGAGTACGGCGAGTTTCCACGGCGCCATCCTCTAAATTCGTGCGGGCGCTGGGGGAGAGAGAAGCAGGCAATCGTCGTGGCGTGGCCCACGATGCAGGCGTCTCTGTCGCATCAACGAGCACAGGCCTCGATCGCTGGCTTCGCAGGTTCGCCTGGCCCTACAGCATCCAAGGTGCGTAGAACCCGCCCCTCTCTTCGGCAGGCCTGCCGTGCAACGGCAGGCACACAAAGGGTCTTCGCGCCATGGCCCCTCTCCCGCCGCCATCGACTTGGCGTCAGAGCAGAGCAAACCCGGGGCACGTCGGATGCGATCTCGACCCGATCGAGCGACGTTACTCGGCGTGTGAGCACGTTGCCTTCGCTCGTCATCGCATCCCGAAGCGGCCACCCGACGAACGCCCCTCCGTCCTGGCGCCTGGCCTGGCCGCGCTCGCCATCGGCAGAGTAGCGTGCGTGTTACTTTGGAAGGAAGCAAGCTCGTGGCGGCCTGCGATGACATCGGAACATCGACGACGGATCCAGACCCAGATTCTCCCCCAGGCGACGCCAGCGCAACAGGCTACGCACAGTACAGTACCTGTAAGTGCAAGCAGCATGGGCCCTCAGCTTGCTTACTCTGGCAGCTGCATCGAGATGGAAGCGTAGGTCGTTACTGGGCGTGGTAGTGTTTGGGCCCCGCTCGCTCGCCAAGCGGGCAAGCGAAAGAGCTTAATCCGCCATCGTGCCGCCAGAGCGCTTTAATCGTGCAGCCCTACGTTGCTTTATCGGCAGGCAGGCAGGTCTGTTCGTGGCCGTGGCTCGGCCGTCACCTCTGCTCCGACGGATACGGCAGCCAGTCGACCCTCCTGGCGGCAGTGCCTGCCTGGCGGTCGAAGCGATGGCGACGCCTTGTCAACGACACAGGGGACCCGCTCACACACTCCAGCTGCACAGCCAGCCGCCAGCCGCCAGCCGCCGCCGCGAGAGCGGTCGGCAGGATAGGCAGACGTGGCTGCTTGCTTACTTCTTGCGACACACCTTACGTTGGCCTGGCGTTGCCGGGGATGCCGCGCCAACTCCGGCAGTGCGCTGGCGAGATGCCGACGGCGGTGCACATCAAAGCTTCCATCCACCTCTTGCTTGCTTGATCGATCATCTAGACAGCTTCTGCTCACCGGTATGTCGCAAGCCTGCCCGCGAGCATGCTGCGCAGTCTCCGACGGCGAGGCCAAACAAGGGAACGGGACTGACCAGCAGCGGCTCCGTCGAGCCACCGAGGAGGCCCCACCTTCCCGATGCTCGCCCGTGTGGCATGATTTGTCGACGTCGGGCCTCGTATCGGGAGCAGCCATCTGGCTCCGTCTGAACCTACCGTCAGCTCCTCAGGCACGGCCTGGCCAGTGCAGCCGGGTGGTGGCTGAGGCGGACTTACCGTATCCTGCCCGGATTGCATGTCTGCCCATGCATCTGGCGGACCCAAATCGGCTCCGCCAGGCTCGAGGAAAGAGTCAACGCGACGGCGCTACCCACGGTAAGCTGGTGGCTGCGGCTGCGGCTGCAGAAGCTGGCTTGGCGCAGACGTGCTGACGGCGGAGCTTGAAGCTTGAAGCCGGACTGGCTCCTGTCGAACGTACGACTGCCCCTTTTGCTCCAGGGTGGCCAGAGCGCGAGGGAAGGTCCAGCGTCGACTCGTGGACCAGCAAGGTCGAGACCCACTGCGGCTTCTCACGGTACGGCGGAAGCTGTCAACTTCGAGTCAGCGCGCCGCCCCCTGGACATGCTCGAGCTCCGCCAACTTGCTTGCTTGGTGGTGTCGCAAAACACCGGCAGCAGCTCAGGCAAGCTTGCTTGCTTTCCCGATGGATGACCTGAGCCTCTCGGGCTCCGGTACCGGTCGGCTGCTTCGACCGAACGGGCGAGACGGTACGCCAAGGACGGACGGGTGCGTACTGTATCGGTGAGTAAGCATGTCAGGTGGTCGGTCGAGGCCCGTCGCTCGCCGTACGACCTTGCCGCCTGCTCTCGAGAGAGGCGGGCGGAGTCGAGGCGAGAGGATCATCTGACACGCGACAGCCAAACAAAAGCCCCCAAAGCAACGCAACGTTCCGAGCGCGAGCGCAAGCGCAAGCAAGACAGCTCAGCTGGTCTGGCCTTGGCCTCGCCTCGACAGACGATGCAAGGATCCGGGCCATGGCGCAGCACGGAGCGTTTGGGGAGGCATGCCGAGCTGACTGCCATACGCGCCGCAGCGGCGACTCCGCCCCCCCCCGTCCCCCTGGCCCTCTGCTCCTGGCGAATGCACGCTTAGCCGCTCGCCGAAGGTCAGGCGATGCAAGGAGCGGGCGCGGATCATCCTCGAAAAAGCTTCGAGGTGCGGGGAAACAAGCTCGGCCCAGAGCCTCCTCGCTTGCCGCTCGCCGAGGAGGCAGCCAGGCAAGCAAGCAAAGAGGGACGGCGGTAAGCCGTAGGGAGCGTCCGAGAGCATGCTGACAAAGGCGTGCCTATCGACGTTCGCTTGCTTGCTCTGCGGTGCGTACTACGGCAAGACTGTCGTGGCCCGTCCGTCGGATGGGAGCGCAAAAGTCCGGCCTTATCGCCCGTCGCTGGTCGGGGCAGATCCCTCGGTTTCCACAGGCGGCCGCCCGGTTGTCGGAGGTTTGGTCGCGGAGTCTAACGCTGCACTCTGCCGCCCTGCTCTGCTCGAAAGGGGGAAGGTCCAAGATGGCCTCGGCCGTGGCCCACCGCCGCCGCCTCCCCCGTAAGTCCGTCCGTACGTGCTGCTTTTGTCTGTATGCCGCTCCGAGATTCCAGGGGGTCGACGTGCGCCCAAACAAAAAGGATCCTCGCTGCAAGCAAAGCAAGGTGTTCGCTGACCGCTCTACACACGCGCCTCCCTCTTTCTCCTCCTGGCCTGGCCTGGCCTAAGCTTCGACTTTTGCATTTCTCCGCAGTCTGACCAGATACAGGTAACTAGACACACAGAGAGGCCTGCATTGTCACTTCAACGCTCGGCAGAGTTGCCTGTCTCTCCCAGTGTCCGGTGCGCTGATTCGTCGACAGACAAACGCGAGCTTGGCTGCGGCGACAAAAGGAAACGAGAGCGCGCGTCCGCTTGGCGCGCTGCAAGGGGCAGGCGGGCGAGCGGTTGACGAGAGACATGTGGCGAAGCGACGTGGCTCCCAGACGAGTCGTTCGAGCGGTCGCAGCATTCTCATTGGCCTCAAGCAAGCCTTCGGGTTCGGTCGTTGGCTTTGCAGTGGCGAGAGAGTACAGCGAGTTCGTCGACAGGGGTCGACGAAGGGGGAGCTGCCCGGTCTGTACCGAGCCTGCTCGATACCGGTAGGTGCCGCGACGGGAGCAGCGCGGCTGCCGTCAAAAATCAGCTGGCCGGGCCCCGCGGTTTCGTCTTGTTCTGACCCGCTGTTCCTCTTTTTACGAGTTGGACTCGTCAGCTGCTCCCGACTTCGGACCGAGGATCTGCATTCCTACCGACCCTACATGCGGCTGCCTTCGCCGACGCCAGCAGAGAGCACTCTCGCGCTCGGCGAAATGAGGCAGGCAGGCCAGGCTGGGCAGGCTCGGGATGGATGGTTTGGCGTTCCTGGCTGGCCTGCCTGCCTGCCTGCCTGCGCGGTGGCGACAAACGAGAAACGGCGTCGCGCACTCAATTTCGAAACCGTCGGCGAAGGGCGGCGACTCGTCTGTGGCGGACGACTGCGCAAATTTGCCACGCTCACGAGCACCCAGGCCAGGCCAGGCCAGCCAGGCATCCCGACGGCGGCGGCAGGCATCGCTGTCGCATGGTACGGTACCATACCCGTCGTTCTCGAGGTGAGTGGTGGTGTGCAACCCATGGGTACCATTACTGCTGTAACCTGCAGCAAGATTTCATCCGTCGCGCCGCCGCTGGCTCGAACAGGTTTGAGGGATGGCGAGGAGGACCTTGGAGCTCCGCTTCGCCGCCGCTGGCTTTACGTCGAAGGGGGAGCGCCGCCCCAAGAAAGGCCAGGGCCAACCAGCCGACTGACCGAAGCCTCCTCGGACCAGAAAACTCAGCTCGCAGCCTCGCCACTCACTCCTGGCCAAATGAGATCTGTCCTCGCCCGCGGCCGGATCGGAGGCGCATGCGCAGCTGAGTCGCGGCGGCAGGTATGGAGCAAGAGGTCCGCTCGCCACCCACGGCAGCTCCCTGGCGGCGCACGAACGGCACTCCACCAGGTCGGACCCCGGCACCAGAGTGCGTGCCGTATCCACAGCGACTCGAGGCCAGCACCGTTGCTCTCTCGCCATTCGTGACGGTGAGCAGAAGTGCAATTGGTTCATGGTGGCTGGCGGCCTGGCGTTGGATGGACAGTACGTGTCGAAACTGACGCCCCACCTGCGCCTGGAGTGGTCTGGGCCAACGGTCACGTACAGTACCTGTAGCAAGCGAGGCCAGGAGAGCACCTTGCACCGGGCTGGAGTTTCCGTCGTGCAGCTTTCCTGCCCTGGCCCGGGCCAGGCCTGCCTCGCTCTACAGGCAGCGTCGAATGCAGGTTGGTTGGTCACAGTCGGTCGGCTTGCCTGCCAGGCGGGCGGGATGCGCGACGGGAGTGCGCTGCTCGCCTGGGCAACGGTTCGCGGCCCTGCATGACCGGGAGTGCAGGCGGGCAGGCAGGCAAGCAGTTTGACATGACCCAGTTTTCGGCAATAGGAAGGTGCGTTGCCCGGTCGCGGTGGTTTGGTGATGGTGGTGGTGCTGGCTGGCAGGCGCTGACGGCGAGCAGGCCTGCCTTTGCCACCTCTGCTCGCTCGTCACCACGTCTGTCGCTGCGCACCGCAGACGGACACGAACCCACAGCGTTTGATGCCTGCCTGGCCGTCGTCTTAATCGCATCGCCCGTCGTGCGACCCCCGCCCTGTCCAGGGCAAGCAGGCAAGCGCAACAAGCATGCATCTGTCTGACGGCCGGCCGGCCTGGACGACGCTGCGGGCCTGCGTGACCTGCTGGAGCGCCAAGCCAGCCTGCCACGACGGTCGGCCGGCCGGATGGCAGGCGGCACAGGCTCGCAGTCGCAGCACGGCCGGCATCGTCGACTAAGGTCCATACATCTGCTCATTCTTGCTCTTGTCTCAGTCCAGCTGGCGAGGCCTGGCAGCGTGGAGGGGCACGCACGAGACGGCGCTAGTCAGGCGTCGGCACCACAATGATGATGGGCTACCGTAGCGGTATCTATTCGCTCCTGTCTGGCGCATCGTCAGCCCACGACGCCTTCCTACCGGCACGCTATCTATGACAGCGTCTCGTCCCTTTTTCGTCGTCGAGAGCGAGGAAAACGTCAAGCGGACGCTCACGACGCCTCGCCCTCTCTCTGCCTGGCGAACGACGCTGCGGCGAGAACAGACCACCTGGGGGCACGAGGGGTGGCGCCCAGCCTCGCGCTCAAGGCTGTCTCAGTTTGGAAGGCCTGCCAGGCAAGCCCCTCGCGCGCGGATTCGTGCCATCGGGTAGGTCGCGAGGAACGGTTTCGTGGCAGGATGACGAGTCGCGCACTGTGGGCTGCCAGCACTGGCCGCCTGCGATACGACGGGCTTGGAGTTTCAAGAAGAGGCCGTACATGGAGCTGGTCGCCGTCGTTTGACGAGCTCATGCTGCGCTGCCTGCTCGCCGTTTCTTCTCGAGCTGGGGTTGCATCGCCAGACCAGCATTCGATTGCGAGCGGACCTCCGCTCGAGCCCTCGTCCAAGGCAGTCCAACCCAGTCGACGTCCGCTGCGGCCGCCCAATGTGCTGCGCAGCGCTGAGCCAAGGGACCCAAGGCGCCCGCCCACACCTGCCATCAATAATGTCGTCGAGACAAAGCCATGGCGGCGTGACCCCTCTTGGCCGCCGCGGCCGACGACGAAGACGACGAAGAGGCCATGATGCCCGGCCTGGCGCTGCGCACGCAGGCGGGGTGGGTGGCAAGCTACAGTAGGCTCGCTTTTGCATGCACCCAGGCCTGGGGGTGGTGGCATGGCGACACCCATGGCCGCCTGTTCGCCTGGCCTGTCATGGCAGGGCACGGGGAGAGGGCGCGCTTGGCTTCATGGCCGCACAAAAGGCCCAAACTCGCTTCGAAGGGAGCGATGGGAATTTTCGGGAGCGCTGCCTGCACCGCCTCGCCTTGGCTGGCCGCTGTTGGTCTTGGGGGGGAGGGGCGCTCTGTCTCGCCCTGGCTTGCTCCTCTGGCCCCGCCTGCCTGTGCTGGCTGCCTCCCTGGCGCGCTGCGCCTTGGCCACCAGCCACACGCACGGCGGCAGCACGGTGCTGCGTGCGCTCGACGGAGCTCGAATCCGGCGCTGCAGCTGCCCCAGCAGCCACCCGCCTACCACCACCACCTGGCTCGCCTCTGCTGCCCTGCCTGTGCTGGCTGCCACCGTGGCCTCTCTCTCTCCCTTTGCGCCCGGGCAGCAGCAGCAGCGACGGCGACAGCGAGGTTGGGCCCCGCAGGCACGCAGGCAGGCAAGGGGGTTCAGTTCGTTGGCAGCGCGGGGCCCAGCTGCCACGCCTGGCCTGGCCTGGCATGGCCTGGCCGGACCAGTTCTGGCAGCCAAGGCGGCGTGGCACCCTGGCCTGCCACCCTGCCTGGCGTGCCCTCTGCCTCCTCCTTCCCACTCCGCCCTCCGGTGCCTCTCGCTGCCCCTCTCGAGGCCACCTCTCCTCTGGCCAATTTTATAAAAAAACCATCTGCTCCTCGTCATTCCACGCCCTCACTGCCCCTTGCCACTCGCCTCCTTATCGTCGCACCATACCCCACCACTGCCTCCCTGCGACCTTCTCGTCCTCCGTCCCATCGACGACGACGACGACGAAGAAGAAGAAGAAGAAGAAGAAGACGACCACCAACACCACGACCACCATTCGAAACATTTCGCCAGCGCTTTGCCACCACCACCACCACCAACACTCACCAACCACCGCGCCAGGAGATGGTCACACACAGCTACGCCCGCTCGCCCGCCTGCTACGATGACCCCGTCTTTGCCCGCACCCACTTCCTCGCCCGTGTCGCCTCCGAGGACATCGGCGTAGAGCAGGCCGGCCAGCGCCACAAGCTCAGCAGCGCCAAGCTCGACGACCTCCAGGGCTGGGACTCGCGCTGGTTCCACGGTCACCGCATCACAAACGACGACGACGACGACGACAGCAGCTGCAGCAGCAACGGCGGCCACGGCGACTACGGCAACGACGCCGAGTCGCGCCCTCACTACCGCCCGAGGCAGTCTCAGGCCTCTTCGTCATTGGCGTCGTCGTCGGCGGCAGCACCGCTCTCGGTAGCCAACGTCGCCCGTCTGCGCAGCTCGACTGTGCCGCACCAGGTCGAGCACCCTTCTCACCTCGGCCAGACGCCTGCCGACAAGGTGCGATCGGCTCTCCTGTCTGCCTCGGTGACCGCCAAGCACCGCGTCCGCCATGACCGCTCCGCCTCGGCACCCGAGCCCAGGCTGCTGCCCGCTCAGCCCCTCTCGATCAACACGGCCCAGCCCCTCCGCCTCGCCCAGCCCGACCTCTGCACCATGTCGCCCCTGGCTTACCCCGTTGGCATCTTTGACGCTGCCGACGGCTCCTCATCCACCGACCTGCCCGCCACGCAAGCCACGCCCGCCAAGCGCAGGTCGACCTCGCGATCCACCTCGTCCTCGCCCGCCTCGCCCAGTAGTCCCGCGGCCGTTGCGGGGGCCTCGGCCCGTCACTCGTCCCGAGGGGCCGCGCGCCCCACGGTCATCGAGTGCTCAGAGTCGGACGGATCGTGCCACAACGACGCCGGCGACGCCGACCCCGAGGGCCAGCTGGCCGCCGAAATCATCCGCCTGCGCAACGCCCGGAAGCTCGACGCCCCTCGCGAGGCCGCCTCGCCCGCCCACCCGCTGCAGCCCAAGATCGACGAGGGGCTCAAGCTCACCACCTCTGACTACGCGCCCGAGGACGACGACGCCGACCATTTTGATCTCTCGGCATCCGACGGCGAGCGCTCCGACGCCATCATCCACAGCCACGCCAGCCACCCCATCCTGCGCTTCGCCGAGGCCATGCTCGAGTTCGGCACCTGCTCGCTCGAGCGGTTCACGTCCGACGACGGCAACGGTGCTCAGGTCTCGGTCACGGTCGGCCGCTTGCCCTCGTCTCGGGAGTTGCCGCCGCAGCAGGAGCGACCGTCGCCGCGGCGGATCTCGACGACGCCCAAGGACCTGGGCCGCGAGGCGCAGCTGATGCGCCTCAAGAGGCAGGAGAGCACGTCGTCGGCGCGCTCGAGCCGCAGCAACTCGGTCAACAGCCTCGCCACCTGGTTCCAGGGCTCCGAGCCCAAGCTCAGCCTGCGCGCCCGCGCCAGCCGCCAGGCGACGAGCCTGCTCAGCTTGCCCTCGCTGCTTGCCCCCTCGGCCTCGGAAGGCTCGATCGACACCAGCACCACGGCCTCGTCGTCGATGCCGGCCAGCCCGCGTCCCGCGGTCTCGCGCCTCTCCGAGACGGATGCCGAAGACGACCTCGCCGACGCCGACGCCCAGCGCCACTTTGCCGGTCTCGGCGCCAGCGGCCGACCTGCCTACCCGAGCTACGTCTACGGCCTCGACGGCTACCCGGACGACCCCGCGCCTCACCTCGCGCCGTCCTCGGCGGGCATGGATGTCGTCTTCCAACGCTTCGACGACGATCTCGACCTCGGCAAGCACGCCAGCGACGGCGCTGCCTCGAAGCCCGCCGCCGCCCACGTCACCATCAGCCCGCTCTGGAGCGAGGACCTCGGCGATGCCTCGCAGCAACCCTCTAGCATCTGGAACAGCCTCTTCAGCTCCTAGGATCTCCCCTGCCACTGCATCACTGAACTCGTGCGCCCGCCGGCCGGCCGGCCGGCCGGCCTCATATCCTGCGATATACCCGCCCTCCTCCCGCCGGCCACTCCCACCCCCTCGCCACTTTGGCCCACCGACCACTTTGCCGCCATCCAGGCGACCTGCCACGATTCGACGAACCCCCACACGCACACGACTCGACGATTTGATTCATTGGCTCGCTTCTCCAGGCCTGCACCTTCGCATATTTCCTTCCGCTTCCCCCGCTCTGGGCACACCTCGGCTTCATCTCTGGTCTTCTACATCGCGTCCCAAGCGCCTTCACTAGGTTTCCTCCCCGGTCCACCTTCTCGATGTCACCTGCTCTCTCTACACGGCGCTCCGGCCAAGTTCTCTTTCCCGTCTTGCCCTTTTAGCGGACCACCTGTACTTGTATCACGTCCCTCCGCTCAGCACACGCGCTTCCATCGGTCGTAGCTTCACGTCTTTCTTGCCTTTTGCTGATGAAGATTAATCTCATGTCGGGGGGCGGTTGGCGAGGGCCAGCAAGGAATGCCCTCGTCCTCTTCCCCCCTTTGCAACGCTCCCTTGTGCGCTGTCTGTGAGTGTGGCCTGGCGATGCTGATGCTTGGGTCGAGTTGGGGCTCGGTGGCTGGATTCGACGTGCCTGCCTGAGCCAACGCTCTTGCTCGCGTGGCTGGCTGGCTGGCTGGCTGGGCCCGGGACTTGGCGCAGGGTCCAAGGCACCGACCTCCGACCCCACATCTCAATCTCGCTCGCTCGCTCGCCTCGATCCTCCTCCTCCACACCATCATCGATCCTCACGCTTCGCCCATCTAGACTGAACAGAACACGTCCCTGCGCCGACGAACCGCCATCCATACGATCGAGCCCAGTATCAAGCCCAAGTTAAGCCACACCCACGCGCCCGAACGATCGCACCGCACGCAGGCAGGATGGGCACGACGCAGTCAAAGGGCCCCAAGATTACCTCGCACGATCGAGCCGTCCTCGAGTGAGTGCCTAGCGCCCCGCTGCGGTAGAGGCCTGAGTTCCAGGCAACATCATCTCACATCATCCCTGCTTTGCGATCCGGCGCCACTCCGCAGTCTCAAGCTGCAGAGGGACAGAATACGGCAGTACCAGAAAAAGGTACGACGTCCTCCTCCTCGCCCCCGCCCTCTCCCGACCCTGACACAGCATCTTGACCTCGTCTGCCCCGGCCGCTCACTCGACTCCGACTGACTGACAGATCCAAACGACGCTCGAGCACGAGACCGAGCTGGCACGACGGGCGCTGGCGACGTCCAACAAGCCGCTGGCGCTGTCGGCGCTGCGCAAGAAAAAGTACCAGCAGTCGCTGCTGGCCAAGACCGACGAGCAGCTGTCGACGCTGCAGAACCTCGTGTCGACCATCGAGTTTTCGCAGATCCAGGCGAGCGTCGTCGAGGGGCTCCGGCAGGGCAACACGGTGCTCCGCCAGATCAACGACTCGATGAAGATCCAGGACGTCGAGCGCATCCTCCAGGACGGGGAAGAGGCGCGCGCGTACCAGCAGGTACGTTTCTCCTGGCGTTCGTGGGTCGTAGAGGGGATCACAGGGATGGGGCTGACCCGACCTCTGTCTGCCCTCTCAATCTCCATCGCTTCCTCGGCGATACAGGAGATCGACGAGATGCTGCAGTCGCGCATGACAAACGACGAGGAGGAAGAGGTGCAGCGCGAGATGGAGGCGCTCGAGAGGGAGGCCAACGGTCTTCCGCCGTTGCCAGAGCAAGAGCAACGCCAACAGCAGCCGGTGAGTGGGAGTGCGCCACGGTGTCCAGGCAAGGCAGGCCAAGCCGAGGCTCCCGTGCGCAAGGCTGACCTCGCCCTCGCCCTTGCCCCCCCCCCCGTCTCTCGCCTTCCGCGCCGGTCATCAGCCGGTCGAGCTTCCGTCGGCCCCTCAGACCGAGCCCGTCGCACAACCTCAACCCGAGGAGGCGGCGCTGCAGCCCCAAGCGGCAGGCAAGCCGGCTGCATCGCAGCGGCAGCAGGCCGAACCGATGCTGGCTTGATCCGTCTACTCATTTCTGCCATCTCCCTCCCACTTCTCCTTTTGATGACATGACGAGACCGTTGACGACACCTGTCCCCGGGCATTCTGCCGCAGCTGCGCTCCGGCCGTCGAGACTGCCGTCTAGACCCGCATCGTGCCGAGCAGGGTGCGCGCCCCCTCGGCGATCCTGACCAGCGCCCTGCCCCCGTCGGTCCCCTTGAGCTCGTCGGCGCCGCACACGCGCATCAGGTGGAGCGCGGTCCGCAGCGCCCGCGCGCACTCGCGCCGCTGCGCCGGATCGGCGGCGCCATGCTCGAGCCGAGCGCTCAGGCCCGAGAGGATGACGACCCAGCTGGCGTAGCTGAGCGAGCCGGCCCGCGCCAGCGTGCTCCGGTCCTCGAGCGCCGCCTCGAGCGCACCGGAACCGCCCAGCAGGCTCGACACGAACGGGCCCGGCG